CAAACGGAACCTAGGGGGGAGGGGTGTTATAAACTAATAAAAACTATTTAATAAAAACTTGTCAACCTCACGAGAAAGCAGGCTCGTAATCCTGCACCTTTGATTGGCCCATGGATAGCGAGCAGGGATTGGTCCTTACGGATTGGCTATTAGTTGAACATCTCTCATTGGGCACAATTTAAACGTTTGGACACAATTCATTGGTTAACGGGTCAGCAGCCAGCTCTATAAAAGAGCTGCTGCTGCCCAGGGTTTTTGCTCTGTTCCTAATCCTTAATAAAGAGTTGAAGTTCACTAGTTCTCTGACTCGTCTCTGTTCCTTGCGCCCATGCTCAGAACTTAACATTGTGTGAATGCTGACATGAAATCTTAAGTGGTCTGGTGAAATGTTTTGCATGAACAAAGCAAAGCAACTGGTGATGAAGAACATTTGCTCAGATGTATACATTTCAAATATAACACAGTATTTACATGTGTGTGTGTGTGTTTCTGAAAATTAAGGAATGATAGAGGTAAAAACTATCGAAGTTAGAATAATATGTTTGTAAGCAGACATCCAAAATATCGAAATTTCCATTGGCGAAGATCAATATTGGCTTCACTTCATTGAGCTTGTTATATGAATTCATCCAAGCTGTGTTTATTAAGCCTTGGTTTAATGTAATATATGAGCCCACTTTATTGTCTATTGCTCAACCAACTTTAAGAAGACATTCAACAACAAAGACCACACCAGCTGGGAAGTGGGGAGCCCCTCCCCATTGCAGAGTGATTTATTTTAAAAGGGGGGCAATTAAACTCATTTTCTTCTAAAATTATTTTGTTTTAGAGCCTCTGATCTCCTATTGTTCAGTGATCATGTAAAAAATTAAGCTTATTTGATGAAAAACTGTGCCTCCCAACTCCCCTTATGGTTGGATATGACTTCAAAAGTTCTCTCCACCTACATTCAATACAAATTCCAACAAGTCATTTTCCACCCACATATAGTATATAACTGGAATACTCTCCCTCTCCCTCCCTCCCTCCCTCCCCCCTCTCTGTGAGTAAGTATTATATTGTGTATGTAAGAGGAGAAAATACATTTTGATTAATGAAAATAACAATAGAGCTCCAGGATATAATCAAGGCCCCTCTCTATACAGGTATTAAATCAGCTTGTGGTATCGAGTTGCTATATTTTTTAGAGACAACATGGTCATGTAACAAATTAGATTTCTCAGGTAGGAATCAATTGTGTGGATTATTATCCCAAACCTTCCTTCTGCCTAACTCTACCCAGGTTATTTTGGGTTTTTTAAATTGGTTATGTGTTATCAAGTCAGTGTCAGTTTTTAGCATGTACTTTCTTCAGGTTGATCTCTTCCCAACCTGGCCCAATCCATCCATCTAGCTACTGGTCATCCTTTTTTTCTTTTTCTTTTCAATTTCAGTTCCAATGACTATTTGAAACCATGCAGAGTTTATAACAAATGGTGCTTAGGACATTCATGGTAACCAGTGGCGGGATTCAGCCAGTTCGCACCACTTCAGGATAACTGGTTGTTAAGTTTCTGAGCAGTTTGGTGAACTGGTTGTTGGAAGAAATACTTAGGGTAGAGAACTGGTTGTTAAATTATTTGAATCCCACCTCTGATGGTAACCATGTTTTCATTATGACTTAATATGCTGTGGCTCACAATATCAGTAATTTAACAAACTCTCAGATGGTAAATAAGTGGTAAATAGCTTTGTTTTCTTGGACTCAGGAATAGGTAAAGATGGACATTTTGATGGAAAAGTAAAAGGTAAATTAATCCTTGTAAAGGAGGTAATACCAAACTTAGATAAGAACATAAGAGATAAGAATATTCGTATGACAAAAATATTCTGAGTAAATGCAAGAAGATGGATTCAAAAGATGAATCCATTCAAATGAGGGATTTGAGACAGTTATTAAAAGTACATGGATATCAAAAAGAACTGATCATTTGGGCCCAGAAGAAATACAAATTGACTGTTCTCTTGAGATGATTAGCAAGTAGAGGCTCACTTACTTTGGCATGTAATGCAAGCAGTTGTGTGGTAAGGTTGAGGAAAATAGAATAACTGAAGACAAGAGATAAAGTGGAGAGGCTGGCATGGAGATCACTGGAATATTTTTGCAATAGCTCTGGATTACCATAAAAAGATCAAGATCTATGGAATTGCTGTTTCCCTGTAACATCTGCCTGCCCAATAAATTTAAGGTGAATGGACCTTTCCAGAACCCTTTTCCTCAGGGATTGCTAGCTGCAAGGATCTCAGAAGTATGTTTTTTCCTCTGGCATAGTTTATCCTTAGACATCTAAAGGGCCCCCTCCCCCTGGGCTTTTAGACAATCCATAAATAAACATGGTTATTACCTCAAGCCTTTTGCCTGGAATCTTGTGGCTGCCTCTTCTGGTGAGGAATTGTGTTTTAATTTTGGACTATTTATTGTTATACTCCCACTTTTTACATATTGTTTCTTCCCACTGGATTGTTGGATTATTATTGTTTATGGTTTTTTGGTTTTAATTTTAAATATAAATATGGGAATTCTGCATTACTCCAAGTCAGCTTTAATTGGAACAGCTTGCAAGTTTTGTAAAATGAATGAAAAGATAATAAGATGAGATGACACGAGATGACATGAGATGAGAAAAAATAAGATGGGACGCATTTTCTTCATACAAAGGCTATGATTTTGACCAGATTTGATGGCACCTAACTAATCAACTGATTACATCATCCATTATTTGTAATACTACCCCGAGTCTTTATTACTTCCTTATCATTTTTCATAACACAGACAGCATATTTCATTTTTCATAACACAGACAGCATATTTTGGATCAGGGGTCTCCAACCTTGGCAACTTTAGGACTTGTGGACTTCAACTCCCAGAGTTCCTCAGATAGCAAAGCTGTCTGAGGAACTCTGGGAGTTGAAGTCCACAAGTCTTAAAGTTGCCAAGGTTGGAGACCCCTGTTTTGGAGGGCAAAACTAGAATTTTTCTCATTTGCTTATTTTAAGCAAACCATTTTCTGGTTACTGCCTTCTGTAAGCTCTGGCAGAAATCCTTCTCCAGCCTTGACACTGGAGATTCCTTACAAGCCAATGAAGCAGAGCCTACTACTTACAAACCAGGAATTTTAATATTCAAATGTAAGATCATAAGTATAAAGATTGGTCAAAAGTCACATTTTTTAGTACCCATTATAACTTTCAACAGTCACTGAGTGAATGGTTGTAAGTCAAGTGGTCAACTGCTAATTGTCCCAAAGGTGCTTTTTTTCAAGGGCAACTGGAATTTCTGGTTTTTCTTTGAAGATGTTTCACTTCTCATCCAAGAAGCTTCTTCAAAAGCTTCTTGGATGAGAAGTGAAACATTTTCAAAAGCACCTTTGGGACAACCATGACCTGGATGACTGAGAATCTCCGTAGACATTCAACTGCTAATTGTTTAGATGAGAAAACTGCTAATTGCTTCATAAGAGGATGGCTTCCTGCTTCATTTTGGAGCAGCCTTCGATTCAAAGGAGTCTTGTCCGAATTGCACAAGGATTAATGTGAGTGCATTTATGTTATAAAAATTTCCAGCCAAATCAATTGAATACTTTATTTAGAATGTAGAGCCCTTTGATATGGACCCCAAAAACTAATTCCAATGCTAGGGTTTCAACCACACCTTTCCCCTTAATTCTAACTGGAACGCCAATTCATTCTCACAGCTGCTATTTCCTTTAGGCACGTGAATAAGACCTGTACTAAGTAGAATGTTTGTTCTACCTTTGAGACTAAAATCAAGTCCTTGAACAGATGTAATGTAGGTAGAATGATTAAATAAGATGGAGCATGATGTAACAGAATGACCCACTCCTGAACCAGCTAACTGACATTTTTACTTCTGCCTTTTCCAATCCCAGCAGGTATTTCTTCAGACATATAGGAAATGCTTAGATACTTCTTGTACCTAAAAGAGGACTTATTCTGTGATCACTTGAATAAGTCATAGAGGGCTGGCCTGGGCTATCAAGTTAATTCAATATAATTTTTGTCTGTCTATCTATCTATCTATCTATCTATCTATCTATCTATCTATCTATCT